ACCCTGGTCCACAAAATTTGAGTTTGAGAAATTTTTTTCATTATTCTACATTATTAGTACCCAAAGAAGCTATATATAAAAAAAACCGGCTACAAATAGGTGTTTTGCGAAATTGAAAGCAATTTCAAATCTGTTCAGTTTTTTTGATACACCCTGTATACCAATTTTAGGGTGACATCCGTGTTGACGAAATTTACACTGGATAGTTCTATCAGTTCTAAACTAACCCTAGAAGTCCAGTAATGGTCATCCTTTATTATAATATATGTATCATTCTATAGTTCTATCAGTTCTAAACTCTTCACCCTAGAAGTCCAGTAATGGTCATCCTAGAAGTCCAGTAATGGTCATCCTACAAGTCCAGTAATGGTCATCCTACAAGTCCAGTAATGGTCATCCTACAAGTCCAGTAATGGTCATTCCTGATAGTTCTATCAATTCTAAACTGTTCATCCTACAAGTCCAGTAATGGTCATCCTACAAGTCCAGTAATGGTCATCCTACAAGCCCAGTAATGGTCATCCTAGAAGTCCAGTAATGGTCATCCTAGAAGTCCAGTAATGGTCATTCCTGACAGTTCTATCAGTTCTAAACTGTTCACCCTACAAGTCCAGTAATGGTCATCCTTTATTCATGTCATGACTTGGAGCCTCGTTTTCGTGTTAATGCTTATTTCCAGAATTATTGGTCAAAATAAAAAATCATTTTTCATGCATTTGTTGAAGAAGAATGTTCTGCTTTTCTGTGCTTAGCCCATGAGAATAAAACTTGAAATCCTTTCCATTTAAGGTGGTCCTAAGTTCAAAACAGTGCAGTTGTGACGTAATTATCGTAAGGGTGTATTGCAGAAATCGGATTTTTGAATGTCGCCTGTGAAACCTTCATATCTTACCGCTTTTGCAGTTTTTCTGACTCGATCCATCGTTTGAAAAGGTCCTGTACCACCATTGGGCCCTAAAAACGATAACACAATGGAATTTCATTACAATATCAGACAACTTTCAACATAAGTCTCTTGAAATACTACAACTATTTGTATTTGATTTTTCTCCTCCTGGCAAATGTGATCGAATGAATGACATGTAAAAGACTTAAAATTGTTTACTTCTGAAATGCGACTCTATACTTTTGTGTGCGAGTTCACTCATTTACATCCGTCAGAAACACAAAATCGCCGACAAAATTGCTAGTGTGAACCAGGCTTAAGGCTAAAGCCCCGATCAAACGACGATGATAGTTGATCAGAGTAGGCATGCAGTCAGGAATTGCTACGGGGGACATTTCAAGCCCTAGATCCAGATGATCTTGATACGCAGAAAAGTACTGGCACTAGTTGTCAAATAGAAATCCATTTTATGATTAAAACAACTGAATATCTCCTATAATATACTTTATTTCGATTCCATATTTTTGTCAGAGCTGTAGTTCTCATAACCAAACATAATTACAAAATTTCAACTAGTTTCATAAAGAATAACGAAAGTTATAATTGACTGAAACATCAAAATGGATTTCTATTCGGACAACCCTTTCTGAGCGCTGATTGGCTAAAATACGAACACGAGATCACCTGGATTAACAAATAAAGGTTTGATGAGTGTTCCAACCATAGCTCAGTGGTTCCAACAGATGATTCCAGCCAGAGACTAAATTTTGATCCAGACAAGAAAGACGAAATCTATCATTATAGCTTCTAAAGAACATCCTTAAATTAGTAAATTGCCTAAAATAGCAAATTTTGAGGCCAATTTTGAGCCGAAAGTGGTGCATTTTTCCCCGCGTAATACTAAATTACTCAAAATTTGCAAATTTCACAGGGCTATATTTTTCGTATTTTACAACATTTCGCAACCAAACTTTGCAATTTTACAAATTTTAGGATGCTCTTTTGAGCTGTAAGGTCAGTAAGGATAGATTTCGTCTTCTTTGTCTAGATAAAAAATTAGTCAATAGCTAGAATTATCCATTATGCTTTAACTTAAACAGAATACATGATAGTATGAGAGCCAACTCTCTCAATCATGCAGCATTTTATTTTGATAAATTGAAGTTAAGCGTTGTTTATACTTGAGTTAAAATACGTCCAACACGAAGTACAACACCAGCCTGAGTACACATACCGCTGTCTCCAAAGTCAGCAGGACTAGAAGGTGCTGAGTCGACAATATCTTGATGTATTTGACCCAGGTGTATCTGCAGATCCTCACGGGAAATCATGCGACTGATGCTGAACTCTCGATCCGCTTTCGTCGATTTATTCGAGACAACATATTTTAGTGCCTATGTTAAATTTTAAACAGTTAATGAGATGTAATCCAAGTGATTAGTAATCCAAGCAGTCAGCGATATGCGCACACATAAAAACGCACAAGTTGTTACAAGTCTGCGAACAAGTTGTTACGAATCTGTTCACAAGCTGTCGACAAGTTGTGTTCGCACTGCTTGTTCCCAGTTGTTGTAACAAGCTGTTAACAACTTGTAACAAGCTTGATGGCATTATCAGACTTGTTACAAGGTTGTAACAGTCATGATATAACAAGAATGTTACAAGTTTGACGACACATGGTTGTAACAATATTGCTATATTATGACTGTATCCGTGACTTGTTGGAACAACCTTGCAACAAGTCTGATAATATCAACAAGGTTGTTACAATTAGTTGTTAACAGTTTGTTCCAAACTTGGGACAAGCAGTGCGAACACAACTCGTTGACGACTTGTTGGCAGACTTGCTACAAGATGCGAGATGTTTGCGTGTGTAATACAGCTAGCTGTCCAAAACAAATGCCCGCATTAACGTTAGCTTTGAAGTTTCAGATTTTTATACTAGGTAAAATGATTATCCTATCGTTTTAATCCATTGATATTTGATTAGTCAAAATAACAAACTATTTGCCTCCTAGATTCACTTAAGGTGGCGACACCAATCTTTCAACTTGTCCGAATTATAGAAATTAGGTCAAGAGTATTTCAGACTTTTAAAAGGGGATGTTTAAAGACAATTCCCACTTGTATTCTCTTATTAAAGGCAGGGTTTGTTGTCCCTAACATTAAGGATTTCGTTTGATATAAAAATTCTGTATGACTGAACTGTCCGCGTTACGTTTGACTGGGTAAAAACTGGAATAATCTGAATCTCTGCTAGTTATTAAAAGTTCACGCTATACTTTATTTACCTGAAAAACTTGAGCCAGACTCGTTTGATTATCATCTTGTACTCTCAGTAAAGAACTCAGAGGAATCACCATGACCCAATCAAGAAGACAGAACATCAGAGGGTTAAGAATCTAAAATTGAAAAATTACGTTATGGTAAATATTTATTCGCCTAAGCGACGAAATTCAATGTTAAATTTGGACGGCGCAATCCTAATAGGAACACGTTATAACGCGTATTAATCAATCGATCTTCGTATATGGTAAGAGGGAGCTATACCTGTCACGTTTTAGGAAAGGTTACTATTTTTACTTTTTTAGACTTTTGTAATTTTGTATTCTCACACACTGCTGGGAGCTGCTGCAGCCGTCCGCCGCAAGCTTGACTTTTATTTACACAATAACAGCTAACACAGCTAATCATACATAGCTCTGCAACATAATTACGTTATTTACATAAAAATTACTGAGGAGTTATAATTACTAATAAGTTATATAAACGTCCACTGCATCTAACAAACTAACTGACTATAATTAACGGGCGGGCGGGTGGGGATTTATGTCAAGCGTTGCGGAAGCAACAACAACATGTGCTGTCTTAACCTGCACCACCCGAACACACCCGATTCACAATCGGGCTCCCAGCCTTGTGTGAGAAAACATTTTCTGCTTCTTTCGTACCTCAGCCAGCAGAAAATAACACTTCTCACACACTGCTGGGAGCTGCTGCAGCCGTCCGCTGCAACTGATAACGATAGAGCTAGTAATGTCATGCACTCTGCATAGACTTAGTAACAAGCAATAAAGAGTTAACAGACTCATCAATATAATTGTTCTTTGCCCTGGCACTGTGCCAACCCCCTTGTCTCTGAAGCAGTCTATCAGGAATATACATTGCCGCTGCTGTCGATGCACCACCAGAACGTAGACTATGCAGCCCATAACACTTTGGGTCGAGACCTTCCGTCCTTAACTCGTTTTTGAACAACTGGTTAGCCCTACTGTATGACATCGCTCCCTGCGGAGTTTGCATCCACTCTTTGTCTGCTGGATTTGTCTCCAAAGCATGGTCTTCGAATCATGCCCCCCTTGTGCCAGAAAATTTTCGACCACCCCTACTGGGCAGGGGCTATCGTCTGACCGAGCAATGAGAACTTGCGATCCTTAGAACTCGGAACTGATCATTCTTTCTCTTGGACAGTGATATTGAGAGATGGGTTGGTGCAAATATTAAGTCTTCAATCTACCATTGCACAGTACAAACGCCATAATAGCTGCACTCCAAATAGGTACCTGTGCCATGCGTCTGTACCATCTACTGCACAATCTCCCATTGCGCAGTACAAGCGCCATAACAGCTGTACTCCAATTAGGTACCTGTGCCATGCGGCTGTACCATCTATTAGACAATCGCCCACTGAACAGTACAAATGCCATAACAGCTGTACTTTAACCGGTACCTATGCCATGCGGCTGTACCATCTACTATAACAAATTTAACCGGTACCTATGCCATGTGGCTGTACCATCTACTATAACAAATTTAACCGGTACCTATGCCATGCGGCTGTACCATCTACTATCACAAATTTAACAGGTACCTATGCCATACGGCTGTACCATCTACTATAACAAATTTAACCGGTACCTATGCCAAGCGGCTGTACCATCTACTATAACAATTTTAACCGGTACCTATGCCATGCGGCTATACCATCTACTATAACAAATTTAACCGGTACCTATGCCATGCGGCTGTACCATCTACTGTAATGAATTTAACCGGTACCTATGCCATGCGGCTGTACCATCTACTATAATGAATTTAACCGGTACCTATGCCATGCGGCTGTACCATCTACTATAACAAATTTAACCGGTACCTATGCCATGCGGCTGTACCATCTACTATAATGAATTTAACCGGTACCTATGCCATGCGGCTGTACCATCTACTATAACAAATTTAACCGGTACCTATGCCATGCGGCTGTACCATCTGCTATAACAAATTTAACAGGTACCTATGCCATACGGCTGTACCATCTACTATAACAAATTTAACCGGTACCTATGCCAAGTGGCTGTACCATCTACTATAACAATTTTAACCGGTACCTATGCCATGCGGCTATACCATCTACTATAACAAATTTAACCGGTACCTATGCCATGCGGCTGTACCATCTACTATAACAAATTTAACCGGTACCTATGCCATGCGGCTGTACCATCTACTATAATGAATTTAACCGGTACCTACGCCATGCGGCTGTACCATCTACTATAACAAATTTAACCGGTACCTATGCCATGCGGCTGTACCATCTACTATAATGAATTTAACCGGTACCTATGCCATGCGGCTGTACCATCTACTATAACAAATTTAACCGGTACCTATCCCATGCGGCTGTACCATCTACTATAATGAATTAAACCGGTACCTATGCCATGCGGCTGTACCATCTACTATAACAACTTTAACCGGTACCTATGCCAAACGGCTGTACCATCTACTATAACAATTGTTAGCTGTACAGTGATGTCCATCGCCATGCGGCTGTAAACTCCCACAATTAGATCAGCAACAAACATTTTAAATTAAACAATATGCATCAAAACTTCTATTCACAAGTTTTAAACTGTTCAATGTATAATCAGTGTTTACCAAAGTTTAATCTCAGTGCCAATATCTGAATACCCTTTACCATACAGAACTATTCACAGTCAAATGTTACTTCGGGTTCATCACCACAAGTTTTTTCCAGTTATCGTTTTGGTTAGCTTGGGGTGTACTACCAATAACGAATCGGGCGTTTGCTGTCCGACACTCTCTCGCGAGGTGACCTGGCTTGAAGCAACGAAAACACGTCATAGCGCTCATGCGGTTGTCACGTGAAGACTGCGAATATGATGCCCTCATGTCGCCTCCAAAACTGCGCCTTTCCGGAGCGCGTATTTGCTTATTTGGTTTGAACCGTACCGCCTCGGCTGCTTTCTCGTTTTTCAACTGCTTGCCCTCTTTTACAGCCCGTTTGATTCGCTTTTCATCCTCCGAGTCACTAGCGAGGGGCTCAGCCGTGTAACAATGAACTGTGTCCCACCCGTATTTTTCCGCCAGCAAAATATGTTTATTCCGTTCCTCAAGAATTCTCTTACCTTGGGATAATTCTACGGATATTTCCCCCATATCATGACTTGTGAGTGCTCGATCTACATGCGCAAGGACGTTCTTGTTTAGTTCGTACTGTTTTTTGTTCCCTTGATATCGAAATTCCGGTTCAGCGACCTTTGGAACTGCTGTGGAATTCGACACTTTCAACTTCGCCGTGGAAATCTCCGTTTTCAAACGCAACAGATCCTGCGCTGTTTTCTGCTGGTTCTCGAGAATCTCTTTGGCCCACACCGGTGGCTCTTCTGACTTACTTCGAGCCCTTTCTACGCTGTCTTTCGAGCGAGAACTATGCCTTCGACTACTGCCACGTTCCTCGTTTCGGCTCACTCTACGGCGAGAACTAATCTCGCTACGGCGAGAACTAGTGTGGCTATGCCTATGCCTACTTCTGTCGTGTGACCGAGAATCTCGCCGACTCCTTGGCTCTCGCGAGTTTGAACGACTTCTGCCGCCGTCAGTGTGGCCTTCGTCTTCGCCTTGGTCAACCAGCTTTAATATCGTCCTGTAAAGCCGGGCTTTGGTTATGAGACTCCAGTCTTTTCAACAGGCGAGAGGATCTCGAAGTTGATTCCTTAGACTTTCCCATGATAACGAGATGAAAATACAGTAAAAAACGGCGAAAAAATCGCAAAGAAATTTGAATAAATTTGAATAAACGCAGAGCGAAAAGATTTATGTCAAGCGTTGCGGAAGCAACAACAACATGTGCTGTCTTAACCTGCACCACCCGAACACCCCCGATTCACAATCGGGCTCCCAGCCTTGTGTGAGAAAACATTTTCTGCTTCTTTCGTACCTCAGCCAGCAGAAAATAACACAC